TAAAACCTATTTCAATCTAAGAGTACAACAGCCAATGGCTCTACCCACTTTCATATTTGCAAAAGGTTAATGTAAATATGTAAACACAACAGGCGACTAAATCAGCTATTGCTCTCACACACCAGTTTCACTGTAACTTTAGAAACTTTAGGCATAGTCTGGTGAATTGGTCTCTCCTTACTCTAAGGAGTTACATTTTATTTTACTGTGATTATTGTATATAAAAACCGAATAAATCCTTTAACAGTCAAAGGACAGACAAAGGAAAAACAATGAGGCATTCTGGCAGCATCTGGCTTCTTTTTTTAAAAAAGGTAAACAAAGAAGAGAACCGTTTACATTGTTTTTTCCAGAAGGGTCCCACACAGCTCAGTGAGAGTGGGTTAGATGATTTGGCAATAAAGAAGTGGCAGAGGCTTTCAAGGTATGGGTCAAAATAACATTTTCTGCCATCTAACATTTCTATATAAAATAATTTAGGACATGCTATTTTCCTGCATTAGTTTGTGTGGTTTTCAACCTCTTCTGAAGAAAAACCATCACCACCTTTTACACAAAACACATGTGCGTCTACAAGCTGGAACGTAGACATCTACTAATATATCGATCTCATCCCTTGATAGTTTTCAATGCAAATCACCAAACCAACATTCACTGAGTAATTTGTTAAGATTTCTAAAGAGTCTAGAAGATGGTAAAAAAGCAAAACCCAGGAAGGAGAAACGAGATTAAAGTGAACCTTGCAGTCAAAAGTTCTTCTTCTTCTGTTAGAGGAGCTTGGGCCTGGATGGGTTAGCTCTGACTGAGGAATAAGCCCCAATGTGACTGATGAGGTTGGGTTCTACACTATGGGACCTCTGCCCAGGGACTGTCCTGGCCATTTGATACAGAACAATGTCTTTAGCATGCCCTTTGTAGCAGAATGAACTGTCTAGATACTCAGCCACCCTTAATGAGGCATTGCCAGGGAACAACATGGCTGGGGTGCAGCACTCGGTAGCTGGCGAGACGGCATACAGCTGTGGGGAAATTCTCCGGACTTCTAGAAGGTAATGCCGCCCCAACAACTCTGCAACGGTCATAAAGTACAGAGTGAAAAAGAGGAGATGGGTAGCGGACAGGGTGAACGAGAAAGAACAAGGGTTCCAGTAAGGAAAGCTGAGGAGGAGAGCCGTTGCGCCAACCAATCCGAGCCCCACCCACTCCAGAATGCGGTATGGCTCAGGGTTCCAGTAGCGTTGTAGCCTTTCAGGATGATATAGCTTGATGTAAAGAGTGTGAAGAGCAAACCTACGTGACAACAAATCCTTTATAACAATGAAAAAGTCATTTCTTGGCAAAGCATCATCTTCTAGAACAACAATATTTTTAGGCTTCACCAGCTCCCAGCCTCTGCGGAGACAAAAGACATAATCCCTCTTCTCCTTTTCAAAGGTATTAATTCGCTCCTGTATGCTCTGCTGCTCCTGAGGTGAACGCCGGACCACCCTGAAGTGGCTCTCCAGCACCTTGGCATCTTGGTTTTCCTGCGGGCCACTCTCCACGTCACAGACCAGCACCTCCGCGCACTTCTGCTCCCCACAGCTTCCCACAATGTTACTCAGCTGCAGCATTACCTGGAGCAGGTAGTGGTAGTCCCGTGCCTCCTTCCGCCTGGCTGTTACCACAGTGACCAGCAGTTCAGGATGTTGAGTGAAGTTGTTGAATCTGGACGTTGCTGTAGTTGAAGAGCTCTGCCAGAAGTGCAGAGCCTCCTGACCTCGATCTAGGCTTTCCCGCAGCACCACTTCACTCATAGAATCGAGGTACATGGACTTAATGAAGTAGTAAGAGTACAGCAGACGATGGCAGCACAGAGGAAATATGACACAAAATGTGATGATGGACAGGGCGAAGGCTTGAGTGACTGTGCTGGACCATCGCAGGTACTGGCTCAAGAACACTTTCCATCGAGGCATTGGGGAATTTGCCAAGT